ACATCTTTAATGTGATCCTAACTGAGTCTAACGTTCATTGGAACCCTGCTGTTTACACAAGGTTAGTGGCTGTTATCATATTGGTTCCATTTGTCCTGTCTAACTCAGCCACTAACATTTTGTTCCTGTGTTTAGAGATACCAACCCAGGAAGCAGTGACTCTCCAGATCCCTCCAAGAAACTTTGTCACCTCCAATAAATTCTTTAAACCTTCTTTTGTGTTCGGCAGTTTAACAGAGCTCAAAGTCAGAAACTCAACAGATTTAGTATACTTCCCTTTAAAAATGTACTCTTGAAACCAYCCAGAGCACTTTGTTGGGTGTTTTATTCAAAAGTATAAAGAGAGAAGCTCCAGGATAAGATCCTCAATATGATAGGAGCAACTACTGAGAAGATGAGGAAAGAGTCAGAGGACTGGTTGATGTGCAACTAACCAACCAGAACACAGAGGGAGCTGAACAGAACTCAGGACTGGTTGGAGCTGAATATTTTTAAAGACATTGAAAAGAATATTGATGAACATTAGAACATCAAAGAGGAGAGGATTCCCAAAATTAAGGAACATCTCAAGTGATGTTCCTCGTGACGAAGACCCCGAGGACAGACAGGATGCTTTGGTCAAAGGTATGAACAATTATTTATTAACCATCCTTTATTACATCTGAAACACACATACATCATGACTTTAAAGAAAATCAAAGAAAATTCATCTTTGTCAATCAAGTCTCATTTCTTTACATTCACATTTTCACAAACATTTCCTTTACATTTCAGATGYAATTTAAGCAACTTTAACTCACTGAATATTCACTGTTTTGTTTGTTTAATACATTTTATTTCTTACCCAAAGTCTATAAATGTACGGATCCTGTCAGGTGACATTGGATAAAAAGAAAATATGCATTTTTTTWAATTAATCCAGTGGCACCAGAGGGGCTCTGTATAAAACGATCAGACGGTAAAATAAAAACCTAAAAGCATAAAGATGAGAGAAACTGAGGATGGAAGTACATAAAACAAAAATTAACTTGCTTTTGTTTTTCTATCATTACAAGAGATATTTTCATGTTAACGTTCTGGAAAAGAAAACTGTTTGATTATGACATTAATAGCCGTGTTTCCATCAACGTTTTTTAATGTGCATTTTGAAGTATCGCATCAGAAAAGGTGAATGGCAACGGCATGATTCGAAAAAACTTCCTCTAATTCGCATAAAAGTTGATACGCTCACGTGAGGTGGTTTTTGGTTTTTTCGAAAAAGAGTTAATTCGCAAAAGGAGAGATTGAAACACATTTGTCGAATAAGTTCTGACGTAGCGAACATTTACCTCGATCAGCTGTTCTCGCTGTCTGAACGGTACCAGACCGACTGCAGCAGGACCCTCCTCCCGCTGTCGGCGTCCATCCATCCATTTTCTGTACACACTTCTTCCTTTTCAGGGTCACGTGGGTCACTGGTGC